CCCCAAAACCCCAAAACCCCAAAACCCCAAAACCCCAAAACCCCGTTTATCGTTATTATCTGAGAAACAGTTGAAATGAATAATGATTTAGTTTAAATAAAGCATATTAAATGCAGCGAATAGGCAACCAACAAATGCTTGGTTCTTAGATATCTATTTATTCAAGCAAAGAATCTCATGTAAGCTCTTCTTACTTTATCATTTGGATATCTAATGGCACTCAGCATCCATTGTGCGATGGTTCTGCTTCTTCTGTCTCCAGTAAAGAAGTAGTAGAAAATAGTGGCATTTAGTGGTCTGACAGTTCTCTCTTGGTAGTCATCGTAGTTTGCTTCAATGTGTGGGGAGCTGCAGTTGTGTGAAAGGAATATATTGTGCTCAATCAATCTAGAGTACTCGCTACAGAATTACTAAAGAGTTTAGTTGTTCTTCTAGAGATTCAAGTCAGCCATTGAGGATAAAAATCTATCGAATTGCTCCTTTTGATATCTCTCTCTGTGCTCCTTTACTACAATGCTACCAGCAAGATGTTATAGGAGCTCTTCTTTGAAGGTAGTTAGAGCTTCATTTGTTTGCTCACTCATGAAGTGGTGATAGACTCTTTCCCTCTCATTGTAGGCTTTCTCGTATTCAGTGAAGTCCTCAATGACCTTTCTAATCTTAGTGTTATAGATCTCTCCAAGAATGTTGATATATACTTGATACTCTGGGTCACCTAGTGGTTGGTATCTGTTATAGTTTCCTTGGAATCTGTCTCTGTGATTGGTAAGTTTCTTTAACTCCTCAAGAGCGTATGGATCACCCTTGGCTACCTTCTTTACATATTCCTCTCTCAATTCGACCTTGATTTCGAAATATCTAGCTTGAAGTCCCATGTAAGCATGGAGCTTTGCTTGGATTGGCTTGAGTTGCTCAGCGTTTGGATGTCCGTTTTGGATTGCTGTCTCGACCATGATGAGGTTGTTGAATGAAGGGTGACCAAATGAAAGTCCCATTGCATCGAAGAACTTTGGATCATCGAAATGGCCATCATGTCTGCGAAGCTTTTAGACTCCCAATTCTCTCAATTAATCTACAATTTAATTCTCTTTTTCCTCGATTTGCAAAAGAACTTGTCCAATGCTGTTTCTAACATTTTGATAATCGATCTCAATTCTTTCATGCAAATCATTGAATCTCTTGTGGATCTTTTGTAACTCACCCTTATCAGCTAGGTCCCTAACACTTCTGTTGGCACTCATGAGAATCTCTGCTTCTTTGACTGATAAATCTAGAGATAAACCTTTAGATGGGTTCAAAAGATTGTGCTTAATTTTTTCTTGCACGAACTTGTGAGTCTCTTGCTGAATCTAATCAAGGTAGGTGTTCTTGAGTTCTCTCATAGCGATTCTGTTTGGCATTCTGATTTGCCACTTGATCTCGTCTATCAACAAATTAGAGTCAATTAAGCTAAAGAAAATATATACCTGGAAGATAAGGTTCCATTTCTGCCTTATAGTATTAGAGTCTGCCTGGAGTTTACCAGATAGGTGGCTGAGTACCCTTGAGCATAGGGGGGCTACATTTTGAATTGATTATTATAAGGGGATTCCTACCTCTTCTTGGTCATCCATTTAGCAAGGCCAGCGCCAAAGTTAGAATAGGCGACGAGCAAGTTCTTCATTTTTCTTTTACTAAATATTTATAAATTAATAAATCTAATATGCATAAAGTGATTCATCATGAGGGGTTTTGGGGTTTTGGGGAGATC